AATTATTTGGTACTTCTCATTAATTAGATCTATTTTGTACTAATTGAACATTTGATATTTTAAAATTTATATGTTTAAATGGATTGACAGGAAATATTCCAAATGAAATTGGATACCTAGTAGCAATTGAATATCTATATTTGGGGGACAACGGTTTCAATGGTAAGTAACTATATCTCCTAAACTTAGTTTATTTATTAATTTCAGTATTCTAAAATGCGAGCTTTTACAACCCTACATGTGCTATGTATTAAAAACATATATTGTTGCTAGGCATCATGATGTAGGATAGATAGATTATTTAGTAGAATTTAGAATTGTAGCAAGATGGGGAGAGAAGAAGAAGCCAGGGGAAGAAGAAGACGACCATGAGAGGGGAAGAATCAGGGGAAAGGGGAGATTGTCGACAAAGCCAATCTTAATTCATTTCATTCATCAACTAAGTTTTGTTTTCAATTACAAACCATATAAATAGACAAACCATCAAACTTGAAGCTAAGGGCTTGGGTAAGCCCATTAATACAAACTAACTCTAAATAAAATAAAATAAACAATCCAATACTAACAAAAGGGTGATGTTTGCATCAATTCTCCCAAAATGGAAAAAAAAACTCGAGTCTTTCGAGTGGACAAATTACAAATGGTTGCAATCCAGCTCCTAATCATAAGCAAGGTGGATATACTCATGCCATGGGGACAATATTTCTCAGGAACCAAATATCGAAACTCCATGATTGATAACAATGAAAACTGCATCTTATCCCTAACAATATGATGTAATCAATGTGACCTAGACAAAGGAAAATCCTACTGACAACAATATAGCTCCAATAAATCTAGATTAAACTGCTGGAGTTTCTCACTGGGACTCCATGTACAGTCAAACTCAAGTTGATCTACCCAACGAACGAAGAAGTACTAAATCTTTCCATCATTAGTCAACACAATATGTTCATCTAAAATAATATTAATTATTTTTGTGTGATGTAATAGCTGGTATTGGAGTATACATAGCAAAAGATTTAGTGTGGGAACTCCTAGGTTGCAATAGAAAAGGATCATTAAAGGGATTAAAGTAGCCTTTGTAAGTAACAAAGTCCTTAATGGTTGAAATAGAGTAATGGCCAAAATGTGATGAAGGGTCAATGATATATGTATTTGGACAAATATGCTTTAAAATCTTTAAAGGACCAACACTAGAAGCTTGCAATATAACATAATCCCTAGTACTAAATTCAATATGTCATTTATGCAAATCAGCTTGAAGTATATGATGCATTACTTGCTTCAAGTTGTTTATTGGTTTCAATATGCAAGTCATGAAAAATGATGTGGAAATATCTTAACTGACATGGACACACTAGCATGTTGGAACATAGGAATAAGGTCTAAAGGCCTCCTAGACTTATAACCATTAATGACTTCATAGGGACTCAGACCTGGAGATCGATTAATAGAATTGTCATATTCAGTTGAACTGAATGGAGGATCAAACCCCAATTCCTAAGATTTTTCAGGACTAGATACTTTAAGAAATTGCCAAGAGTTTGGTTAGCAACATTAGTTTGACCATCGACATAAGGGTGGTCTGCAGTGGAGAATGTCAATTTAGTGCTAAAAATAAGCGATAGGGTTCTCCAGAAGTTACTAGTGAAATCATCAGCCCCTTTAGGTTGGGTAATAGTATGACATACAACACGTAATCGAGAGATGTCAGGAACAATGTGTGTAATATCTAGTTTCTTCGGAAGAGTCCGAATACCACCTAAGGACGTGTGCTCACTATCATCCAAGTCATCAAAATCTTCAAGTTCAGGTTCATATGCTAGATCTTCTAATGGTTCATCTATTACATTCTTTCGTGCTTCAATAACTAATACACGTCTAGGACATTTGGATGAGATGTGGCCAACCTTATAGTTGAAGCACTGTAAGTAAGAAGAAGTTCTTGGAATTTGAGGAAGTTTACCCTTATTTTCCAACACATGATGAATATTAGTCAGGGAAGGTCTTCTGATAGACTTAAGAGGGGATGGCGCTGATGAGATCAATTGTAATACTCCGAAATTTTATGCTGATTTAAATTTCTTTAAGATAGCGATTTAACTTTTAATACTATTTTTGGCCATAAGAAAAGGGGACACCACTTTTATAGTGGTTAATGTTAGAGATAGCTAATGATTACAAGCATGAGGTGTTAAATGTTACGTATACATGAAGGGATTATTAGTTAGTCGAAACTTAAGTCAAGTTTGAAATTGAATGTGGTCGATTATTTTGTTAGGACTTCAATTGACCAAATGATTAAATTAATTTACGATCTACAATTTTTGAATATGTAAGTTGGATATAAGTTTAGATTTGGGATACATTTGCTAATAATGAAAGATAGATGGTTGGATTATATTAGTTGGAAGATTAGAGATTTCCTTTGCAAATATAGGTCTTTAGGCTACTAATTACTTATAATCAACCCCACTTGTTATCCATCACCACCATACATTTGGATCATAGATTAAACAAGTGTACAAGTATAAAAAAAAAAAAAAAGGGGTCAAAGTCGGCCACAACAAGTAATAAAAAATAAAAAATATCTTTTTATACTTACCCTCTTATACAAGTATAAATATATCCCTATCCATGCCATAGAGAAAGAGATTTCTTTCATTTCTACAAAACACTTATACATTTGAAAAGAGAGCCAAAAACCGAAATTTAAGGAAGGAAGAAAAAGAAGTGAGCTTAACACTTTCAACTTACTTTTCAAACAAAGATCATCAAGTTTTATGGTAAGATACTTTCATGCTTAAGAGCTATGATTTTCATGGTAATATTTATACTTAAGTTATGCATGAAAAACCATAATATGATTATGGTGGACAAGTCCACAAAGTTAGATATCAAGTGTCAATTGGATGGAAAAACTATTTGAAATTTAAACTATCCAACAGGCTAATGTCACGTTGCAAAGTGTACACCATAGTGTACATGTAGCAAGTTCCTTACCGATTGAACTTTAGTATTTGTACACTGATTTTCATCACGTTGTTTGACACTAGCATTGTTATCAAGTGTGAATTTGATGGGAAAATTATTTGAAATTTAAATTGTCCAACAGGGTAATGTCATGTGGGGAAAGTGTAAAGTAAAGCGTACACCATAATGTACATGTAGCAACTTTCTTACTGATTGAACTTTCCTATTTTATTTTTGTGGTTTATTTTCCTTACAAGAGACAAAAAGCAGAAACGGGATAGTTTCTGGAGTCAATTTCAAAACGATGTTTCTAACTCTATAAACGTCCATTTGAAATTATAAAAATATGTCTGTTTTCCCCTTTTAGTTTTCTAAATATGGCCTAAGGAATCACTCAATTTGGATATCTATGGCCTGAGTTATCAAGGTTTTAACGTCAAGGGGTCAATCTGGATTTCCTGTGTAATACTTCACTGTTTTCAGTAAAACGTCTATATCATATGATCTTGGAAAATTCTCATATTTTAACCTAGAAAACTCCTTGAAATTATCTTTCTAATGCCACAGATTTCATGTAAAACGGAGTTGGGATGAATTTTATAAAAATTGTCAAACTTGCTGCCTCAACTAATCTTGATAGTGCCGAGGCCGTATATGTAATGTATAATTTCATGATTGGCATGCACTTTTACCAGCCATCAAATTTTATAAGAATTGATTTATCAAATTGAAAAATAAGTTTCTAACATGTAATACTTCTATTTAAGAGTATTTACATGTACAAAGGGCAGAAGTTATTATGTTTAGTACGTGATCCTCGAAGCTTAAGTTCAGGGTGTCACATCAATGCACAGTTGGCACCATGCATTTCATATGGAATACCAATAATCAACTCATAATCTCGAGCTAAAGAGTAACCGTGACCAAGAGTAGTGACTCCTTAAAGGAAAAGCTCACGCCTAAGATCATCTCTTAGACCTTCTTTAAATCTACTCAAAGTCAGGGTCTCATCTTCAATGATATGACATTTCATTCGAAATTCTTGTCAATAATGATATTGTCTATTGTGGGACACTTCTTAATTATCAATGTCAGACAAATGAGGAATTTTCTTAAAATTATTCAAACTAGCAATTATGCCCTACGATTTTAAGAGTAGTAGTTATTTGGACTTGGATAGCTACTATTTATCGGGTGAGTGCATCAAATTGTGAGGGTTTATCTTTAAGGTAATGACACTAAAAGTGATAAGATGGACACTACGCAACTGCATGCTATGTATTGCAGCTAAATGACTTCAATGAAGAGATCAATGAACAATCAATGCAAGCAATGGAAAATAACAACTTGAGCATTTGTTATTTTATTTTTTAATTTTGGGATTAAATAAATTCAAATATGGCAAGCTAATATCGATATATGTGAAATAACAAAGCAGCAGTCAAATACTAATAAAAAACCTAATCACATAAAATAAGTGAGATAGAAGTGGAATTTAATGACGTTAATGAATCCAATAACATGATTTTAGGTAAAAGTAAAAAATAAAAACTAGAATAACAGCAACCAAAAAATTTAATTGATGCAAACTGGGAGTTGAGTATATGTAGTGGATAGATGATTGTGTATGTATTATGGCAAATAATGATCGCGAATTTAGGGTCGTGATTTTACTGTGGACGGTGGTTGGATGAAGATGTGGGGTGCGTGGGTGGATTGTTGATGCTGTGTAGAGAAGATGAAACTTGGGTGGTTGGGATGGGTTTGGAGGCGATGAATGGAGGCTGTGGTAACTAGTTGTAGAGCAGATGGCTGGTGCATGGAATAGAAGAGAACAATATTTAATTTGGGCCCAGTTAGCGTTATTATTGGGCCATGTGTTATGTATGGGTACTGTATCTATTGGGCCGATCGTAATGTTGGATTAATTGTGCGGTTTATTGGAAGTTGTGGACGATTACTATCTTGTGGTTAGAGGTTTGGAAAGTGGACTTGGTGGTTGGTGCTTTTTTTTTTTTGTTGTAATGGATGAAGATGGCGACTGGTTTGGAAAGATGACAGGAGTGGGTTTGGCGGCAACAGATTTGTTTATGGCTGTGCGTAATAACGAGAGTGGTGGTTTGTGGAATTTTGTAGTAGGCTATTGTATTTGACATGAAGAGGATGACGAGAGTTGCAGCAGATTGTTTTGTGTATATGAAGTCATACCCAAGATTAGCTCTGATACCAAATTTGATGTAGGATAGTTAGATTTTCTAGCAGAATTTAGAATTGTAGTAAGAAGGGTAGAGAAGAAGAAGAAGACAGCGAAAGAAGAAGAAGACGACAACTAGGAGATGAGAAGAATCAGGGGAAGGGGGAGAATGTAGGCAAAGCCAATCTTAATTCATTTCATTCGTCAACTAAGTTTTGTTTTCAATTACAAACCAGAAGAAGAAGAAGAAGACAGCGAAAGAAGAAGAAGACGACGACTAGGAGAGGAGAAGAATCAGGGGAGAATGTAGGCAAAGCCAATCTTAATTCATTTCATTCGTCAACTAAGTTTTGTTTTCAATTACAAACCAGATAAATAGACAAACCAACAACTCTAAATAAAATAAAATAAACAATCCAATGGTAACAAAAGGGTGATGTCTGCATCAGGTCAAGGTCTAGATTCGTGCATGGATGATCTTTTTAGAATTTAAATTTTCATATATAACAAAGATTTTATTGTTGATGGAAAATCTTAATGAAATTTAGGTTACCACATACACATTTTACACTTTTTGACAAATGTTTTTTAACATGCATGCACTTTCCAAATAATTATTAGAAATAAACCACGTAACAATAACTTCATAGATACATCATTATCGAATTCAAATTAGTTAGTACTTCTCTTCTTTCATTAGATCTATTTTGCGTTGATTTAACATTTGATGTTTTAAATTCAATATGTTTAAATGAATTGACAAAAAATATTCCAAATGAAATTCAAAATCTATTATCTCTTGTATATCTAGATTTGGGGCCCAACGATTTCACTGTTATGTAACTAGATCTTCAAAATTATATGTATTAAATTTAATGTTCTAACAAGAGTAAAATTTGACTAGAGATCGTAAAATTTGACTAGAGATCAAGGTTAAGCTTCGGAGTGTTACTAGCCAAAATGGGCTAGGCATACAAAAGCATACTGTGTGGTTAGGTGATAGGCCGACTTCGTGCCTAAGTGCACTTTTTAAGACAATGATTAAATCCATTCGATTTGTTTATTTAGTTTCATGACAAAGATTTATATCTAGATTCCAAATTTAAAATTTTCATATACAACAAAGATTTTGATGTTGATGGAAAATCAAAATGAACTTCAAGTTGCCACCTAGGTATTTTACACTCTATTTGACAGAAGTTTTTCATTGAAATACATGTATGCCATCTTCCAAATATTTATTAGAAATACATCATGCAACGGTAACTCCGTGGCTACTTAATTATCGAATTCAAATTAGTACATACTTCTTCTCTTTCATTAGATCTAATTTGTATTAATTTACCATTTGATATTTTAAAATATATACGTCCAAATGGATTGACTGGAAATATTCCAAATGAAATTGGAAACCTATCAGCAATTAAATATCTAAATTTGAGTCTCAATAGCTTGAGTGGTATGTAAATACATCTCCTAAACTTATATTATATATTAAATCACGTGTTTTAAAAATCGTAAAGCTTGCCAAGACATCAAGGATATTCTTCTAGCTTTTACGAGCATAAATGGCAGGCATATAAAAGTGTAAAGCATGGCTTGGTGGCAAGGCTCAAAGTTGTGCTTAGACGCACTTTTTAAAGACACAAATTAAATCTATTCAATTTGATTATTTAGTATCTTGACAAAGATTTATAGCAAAACTTAAGTTTAAAATTGTCTATGCTGGTGGAAAATCTAAATGATCTAAATGAACTTTAGGTTTCCACCTTTGCATTTTACACTCTTTTGGCAAATGTTTTTCAAATTGTGTGGTACTCATCAAATAATTATTAGAAACACAGCATAATCACTCAAATCCTATGTACACGATATGATTATACTTCCTAAACTTCTCAATAATAATTGGATTGAATTTTTTTTTTTATTTTTAGTTTCTTAGTTTTAGGATGTAGGATGCAATATCAGTTACGGAAGCTTTAAATTTAGAACGGTCAACTTTAACAACGATTTTTATGTTGTGGGAATCTAGATGAACTTTATGCTATATCTTAGTCGTTTTACAATCTTTTGACAAATAATTTTCAGCATGTTTGACATTTTTCAAATAATTATTGAAACATATTATGCGACAATAACTACATAGTTACTTAATCATCAACTTCAAATTAGTTGGTACTCTCCCTCTTCCGTAATATCTATTTTGTGTTAATTTAACATTTGATGAAGTTTAGGTTTCCACCTATGCATTTTACACTCTTGACAAATTGTTTTCAAAATATATGGCATTTTTCCTGTAATTATAAAAAATACAGCATAATTACTTCGAATCCAAATTACTCAGTATGCTTGAGATGAAGATGGATAATACTAGCAGCTAGTCTCATTATAATGTTTTTGTTTGTACTTGCGAACCTTTTCAATATTAATTGAATTTATTTATTCATTTATTTTTTAGTCTGTGGACCTAGGATGCAATTTAATTCTTTTGTTTTAAGTTAAAACTCAATCATTTTTGGTAATTTGTGTCTTTAAAACGAGTCAAAAACGTGTTGAAGGTTACATTACTCGTGTTAGATGCCACGCGTTGTGTTGCCTAGAGGCTCGTACATGTAAAAAAAATTGAAAAATTAATTAATTCAATGGGTCTTCAACTAAGATTTTAATGAATTTTAAAATAGTATAAATTTTAATGAATGTCGTGAATTTAAATAGACTTTTGAATAATTCATACAAATCTAATAAAAAATGGTGTAATTTCAAAAGAGTTTGTCATGCGTATTTTTAAATTTGAAATCCATCTAAATCTCTTGCAATCTGTTTATTAAAGAAATATATATAAATCCACAAGTAATAAAGACGTCTAAATTTTAAAGGATTTCATTGAAATTCATTAAAATCTCAATTAGGAATATTTAATGGGATTAAATAGCATTACTTTATGATGATACGGACTCATATAAAATGTGTCTTATCGATCCAACTCATCATTTGCACTGCACGTGTAATGACGTAGGCAATTATTTATTTATTTATTTTTATAATCTCTTCATTTTTAATTGGATTAATTTTTTTAATCTGTTAGTTTGAGGACTTAGGATGTAATTTTAGTTATGATTAACGGTTTAGTGTTTCTCTGTTAGCTACAAAGATGAGTTTTGTACTTCGGAGCATTTTGATTAAAACGTTATAAAAATTGTGAAAGTTTTTCTTTTAAATTTTTTCAAATGAAATGCTTTTCAACGGAATTAACAATTTGTCGACCTAGATCAATTATTTGGCATTTGATTCTGGATCAACTAATTATTGATTTTCTAAATTCACGGACATTAGAAAAATTAACACGATTTTAGGTTATTCTTTACTATTGTGTATTGTTCCTATTGCGTGCATCACCTTGTTTATTAAATTATTAAATATTCTAAATTAATTTATACATTTGTCATTATAGTATCGTTCTTGTTTTAGTAATATATTTTAATTTTATATTTGAATTATATTTAATCTATAAAATTTCAGTATTATTAGTTGATATGATGTTTTAAATATTTTACTTTTGATTTAATATCCTAAAAGTATTCACAGGAAGCATTCATGGTCAAATACCTGAATCCATCTTCAACCTCTCCATGTTACAAGCACTTTCTTTGACTGACAATAGTATATCCGGCAATCTTCCATCATCAATTGCCAATGGTCTCCCTAATCTTGAACTTCTTTTACTTGGTGGCAATCAATTGAGTGGAGAAATTCCTGCCTCTATTTCAAATTTTTCAAAGCTTACTAAGTTGGATCTTGGTGAAAACTTCTTCCACAGACGAGTGCCGCTGAATCTTGGGAATTTATTACATAGCCTAGAGTCTCTATATTTTGGTATTAATCAGTTGACAAAAGATCCTTCAGTGCCCGAATTGGATTTTCTTATTTCATTGCAAAATTGTAGGATGTTGAAATTAATAGGGATGGAAAACAATCCTTTCGGCGGAATATTACCAAAATCATTAGGTAATTTGTCAACATCTGTTGAAAATTTTGAAGCTGGTCATTGTGGTATTAAAGGTATCATTCTGAATGAAATTGGTAATTTGAGCAACTTGATCAGGTTAGACATTGGAGGCAATGAATTGACTGGAAGAATTCCTAACACATTGGGTCAATTAAGAAAATTGCAAAAGTTGATACTCAGTTTCAATAAACTACGGGGGTCAGCATCTGCCAACCTTTGCAATTTGGTACATATGTATTATCTTGATTTGGGAAATAATCAACTTTCTCAACAGTTGCCAAAGTATTTAGGAAATCTTATGACTTTACGAGAAATTTATCTAGATTACAACTCAATGACTTCCACTATCCCATCAACACTGTGGAATAACAAGGAAATTCTGATTTTGAGTTTGGCTCATAATTTGTTTAATGGGTCGCTAGCACAAGAAATTGGCAACATTAAGAGCATAAAAAGGTTATCTCTATCAGGAAATTAATTCTCAGGTGATATTCCAAGCACTATAGGACAACATCAAAATTTGGAGAATCTAACATTATCAAACAATTGATTACATAGTCATATGCCTGAATCGTTTGGTAGTCTGATTTCATTGAAAATATTGGATTTATCGAAGAACAAACTCGATGGTGTTATCCCCAAGTCAATGGAGAAACTTGAGTACCTTGAGAATTTCAATGTTTCATTCAATGAACTCATTGTGAAATTCCCAATGGAGGGCCTTTTAAGAACTTCAAGTCAGATATTTTCGTGGGCAATAGAGACTTGTGTGGAGCATCTCAATTTAAGGTCAAGCCATGCAAAGATAATACAACAAGAGTTTCAAACAAAACTATAGTTTAGAAGTATATTTTACCTTTGATTTTGGTTGTATTTATTCTGGCTATTATCGTGATTTATTTAATGCTATAGCAGAAAAACACTTCTTCAAGCTCTGTCTACTTCTCCCTTCACCATCAAGAGGATTTCATATTCTGAAGTTCTTGATGCTACAAAGAAATTTGGTGAAGAGAATTTGATTGGCAAAGGCAGTGTTGGTACATTGTACAAGGGAGTATTTTCAGATGGAATGATAGCTGCTATTAAGGTGTTTAATTTAGATTTGGAAGAAGCAAACAATAGTATTGATTCTGAGTGCCAAATACTATGCAACATTCGTCACAGAAATCTTGTTAAGGTTATTAGTAGTTTTTCTAATCTTCATCTTAAAGCCTTGGTACTGGAATATATGCCTCATGGAAACCTTACCAAATGGATCTTCTCGAGCAACTATTTCCTAAATATAGCTCAAAGGTTGGAAATAATGATAGATGTTGCTTTCGCACTTGAGTATCTACATCATGGGAATCCCTATTCAATTGTCCATTGTGATTTGAAGCCTAGCAACATACTTTTAGATGACGATATGGTTGCCCATGTTGTTGACTTTGGCATTGCCAAGCTTTTATCTGAAGACCAGAGAATTTTGTTGACCAAGACCTTGGGCACCATTGGATATATGGCTTCGGGTAAATGGTCTCTATCAACTGCTTCCATATGTATAGTTAAATATTATACAAGTAATTATTCACCAGTGTTTTGCATGCTAACAGTATATTAGTGTTTTGGTATTGGTTCTCATTTATTGATCTGTCATGTAACATTTCACTTGATAATTTGGTCAAATATTCCAATTTTGTAGAGTATGGATCGACAGGATTAATATCAGCTATGGCGGATGTTTATAGCTATGGGATTATGCTAATTGAGACATTTACAAAAAAGAAGCCGATAGATGATATGTTTGTTGGAGAGTTCACAATGAGGAGATGGGTGTTCGAATCATTTCCTGATGCAATAATGCAAATAGTGGATGTTGATCTAGTGAATGCAATTGAAAACAATATTCAAGCCAAAGAGAGCTGCTTTATATCAGTCATAAGACTAGAGTTAGAATGCGCTGCTGATTTGCCCAATGAGAGGCTCAATATGAAAGATGTCCTAACGTGGCTCAAAAAGATCAAAACTGAATTTTTTAAAGCATAACTGAGGTGGAATAAGGTGAAGAGGTTTGTTTCTTTATTAACTTACTTTTTCCATCTCGTTAGAACACAAAAAATTTAATATTTGAAGTAAATTTCATCCATGAAATCAGAACCTATTTTCAATTTTTGTTCTCCTAGAATCCGGGCTTCATATTGACTACTCTTTAAAACATACTTTAATCATCTCTCGTAAGCTTATTATATCTATATTGCAAAAGACTTGGAAATCATTCTGAGGATTTTTAAGCTCGTTTGGCTTCCACCTCTGTTGCAATACGTTATTATTGTCTTTTGGCCATGTAAACTGTACGTTTGATGACTAAATAATTGAAAGAGGCCAAAAGCCCACACAATTATTTGCAAGATACAATTGATCAACAACAAAATAGAAATTAAACTTGCAGAAAAGTAAAATGAACACAGTAGATTTTTTTTGGTCGAACCCCAGAGGTTCAGTGTTCTTTAAAACATCTAATCCCCCGTTGAACATCCAATCAAGAATGTATATTGCTTGGTTGCACTAAAAGCCTGAAAAATCGACAATAAAGATTATAATGTTAAGCCAATACAAAATACACAAGGGAAGAGACTTATCTCTTCAAGAAGTCAACAGATTTACCTCAAATCACTCAAGAACTAACATATCACTTTCTCATATCTCAGCACAAGAGAACTCCCTCATTCTTACAAATTTTCACTCAAGAAAATATAAGTATTATATGGCTAAAACATCTGACAACAATCTTTGAATGAGATGTTTGGCAAAAAATAGTGAAACCAGAAACCCTAGCCACTTAGAGAGAAATGGAACTCTTTTGAACTCTCACACGAAAGGAAACAAGACGAAAATCTGAGGCCAATGAACAATCTTCTGAGTATATATATCACCAGATATCAAACCCTCCATCCAACGGTAGATAACAGGCCAGGTGTCAGAGTCCAGTGCATTCCATCTTATAAAGACGTGTTTAGAAGACAGGTTATCAAATTCTGAAAATTATGGAGCACAAACCGGGTTTGAGTCTCAACAATAATTTTTTGAAGTTTCATGGAATATGCTATTGTGTAAGAAAATCTTAATAATCTTTACAATGGTGATAAGAAAATATTGCATTTTCTTTTAATTCAAAATTCTTATTTTAGTAAAGTTCTTGTGTCCTGTTTGATTTTGTTTTGGATGACAATCTTTTTTCCTCTGTTAACATGTTCCAATGAGAAACACTCTATTCTTTGAACCAAGGAGTGGACCCTTTTGAAGAGCTAAGGAGCGTTTTTGACAGCTATTCTCAATTATTCAGAGCACCTCAGAGTAGAATGCGAAATGCCAAAAATTGAAAGCAATTTTTAAATTATTCAGAGTATAGTGACAAATTGAGTTAATTCTAGAAACATAATCTTGAAATAAGGAGAATAACAACATAACTTCTTATTCAAAACTTCTGAATTGCAACATAATACAATGTGCTTTTAGTCCCTAGGGCTTGGGCATGAAGACCCAGTATTTTCCCCTGTTTTTTTATAGATGTCTCAAATCTAGCTTTGATGGCATAAAAATTGACCCATTGACTGAGAAAGGACTAGAATTTTATTTGACCTTAGAATAGTGATGCAAAATACATATGGAAATTATCCATTATATTGGCGTTCTGGGATTGTAGTATTATATGATGAGCATAGATTTTTTTCTTTGGTTAAGGTTTTGATTATGGTTGTTTTTCAATTAATATTTTTAGTACAATATTTTGTATTTTCCTTACAGAATATTATTATATTTCATTAAATAAGACTACTTGAGACTTTTAATAGAAGTGATTTAATAAATGAAAAATTGTATGTTCTTAATTATGTGTCCATATTCTTGATATAATGCAAAATCAATGAATCTTTGATGCGTAGCTTTCAAGCATTAATGATTCAATGAAAACAAACTAGAAGGTTGCTTGTGATTTCTATGTTGTCACGCTTCCGTACACGCTACTTAATATTAAATAGTCATAGACCATCAGAGAGAAGGGAAGGGGAGCTTTGGAAGTCTGAGGTCTTGGGTCGCCCTAGTTTTATTTGTAACTTATCTGGTAATTTGTTCAATGGTTCGCTTGCTTCAAAAATTGGCTACATGAAAAAAATATGACAGATTTTATCCATTGAAAATCAGTTCTCGTGAGAGATTCCAAGAACTATTGGGGAATCTAACATTATCAAACAATCAATTACATAGTCCTGCACCTAAATCATTTGGTACTTTAATTTCATTGTGAAACCCCCAAGTCGTAGTAACTTAACGACCTTGTGTATTTCAATGTAACTCAATGGTGAAATTCTTAATGGGAGTTCTTTTAACAAACATTACAGCAAATGCTCCTAATTCTCCAAACCCAAATCCTTTTATTATTATTATTATTATTTTTTTTTTGTTAAATTCAATCCAAGAAATTGAAAAAAGAAAACGTGTTCGTTTGAAATTGCCATATTGGGACGACACCTAATTTTAAGTATTTATTCAGGTCATATTATTTTCCACACAACTCCTAGACCATCATCTCCATCTCAACAATTCATTTTATTGTCTGCAGCTTCTGGTGTATCAATTGTGGATCTTTGTACCTACAAACCGACCCAACAAATGTTTCAAGTCAGTGAGCTGGATTTCAAGTAAAGCAGGATCCAAGTAATGTCGTACCCACGCACTACAAGATCCACATTATTCTCCTAAAACCGAATTAACTTTCCCATTTTTAGATACCAAGAGACGTTCGACCTGAACTACTAATGGAGTTTTTATAGCCTGGCAATTGTTTCTATCTCTGCTTTATTCTGAATAATGCAATGTTTTATACCCAAATTTATGTTCTTTTTTTATTTTATTTTATTTTACTAGATTTGCAATTGGAATAAAAAGAATGAACTTTTTTGATTTGGGCTTAAAAGTTGATCGTAAGAATAAGCAGTTCAACGGATTTTATAAGGATATCTGCAATGTTCTTGGGAAGTTTGGTTCCAATTGGATTTCTCTGTACTTAAAAGCTGCGAAACTGCAAGAATAGTAGTTTGATGTTTTTCAACCTTTTCATATGTAATTTGGTATTCTTCTTTGTAATTAACTAAATAATTTCATTCTGAAGCTACCAAGAAATTTGGTAAACAGAATCTCATTAGCAGAGGCACTATTGGTTCAGTAGAAAAGGAAACTTTTTCTGATGAAACGATTGATGCCATTCAGGTTTTTATTTAGACTAGTTTTCCGGTTGTGGAATGCACGGGCTATGTCATTTTTTAGGTAATATTAAGTTATTAACGTGTCAAAATATCTATTCAATTCTCTTAATAAATTTACAAATTTGATTAATTGTTTAAAATGATAAATAGAAATGTAATCTTCATATATAACACACTTTTGACAGTAAAAAAAAAATTAAAAGTTTATTAGGAAATTTTCTGAATGACATCAAAAATTTTATTAGATTATTTAAAAAATTAATTGATCGAGAGGAAAAAGTAACAATAAGAAAAAAAAGTTCTAAAACGATCGAATTTCTTTTATATATAAAAAATTTTCACATGTTAAAATATTAAGATGAAAAATTAGTTGACCTCAATTTTGTGTTGCTATAATTGAAATGTATTTTCTGGGGATAGGATAAATGTTCCCTTGATGTATAGATTAAAAACCAAAATTATTGGAGCTCATAAATCAAACATTATTTTAGTTTGAGTGGTTATTTTACATATAAAGGACTTATTTGATGATAACTATATTCAATATAATTAAATCGTGTAATTAGTAGAATCTTTCTTTTATTGTGCAATATCCAATCGATTTAATGAATTTTTTTATTTACGTATAATATTATTTTATGAAAGATTCTGCGATTTAAAATAAAAGAGAGAAAAATGAGAAAAAAATATAATGGAGCCAAATACAGGCTGAGCCACAATATAATATTTTGTCACTTAAATGGGGTTGAGATTTTTATTTAATCACCCAATTTTGATATATTTGAATTTAATAAAAATCTAATAAAATTTATATACATCAAAAATATTCAATATTTTCAAATAAATTAATCGACATCTTTTTGACAGAGTATTAATTTTTTTCAATATTGTGTTAAGTTTTACTTTGATTTATCACAACTACTTTTAGGAAATAAACAATATACATGATTTAATATACTCTGTGTCACATTATATAAGGGTAAAATAGATTTGTATAAAAAAAATATCAATCACCAAGGAAAAAAAGAAATTATATTGAAAAAATTGTTGCGAAAAAATAATAAAATAATTGATTTTTTTAAAGAAAAATGGGCGAGTTATATGCATTTTTTAACACACACTTGATGTACGTTTAACTATCTTCGATATTCATTTAGATCATTCAATGTATCTATTATATAGTTCTCGAAATAAACTTCGAGAAAATATATAATATTTATAAAGATTTATGATAGATTTTTATAAAAAAAAAAAAACTAAATAAATCACCTAATGAAAAAAAATAAATAAATAAAATTTAACACTAAACATCATCTATATATATATATATATATATATATATATATATATAAAAGTTGCCTAAATGCTCCGTGATGCATGGAGCATTTTCTTCGTGATACGCGGAGTTGCTCTATTGTTTTTTTTGTCAATTTTTTTTTTCACTAAGTGATTTATTTATTTATCTTTTTATAAAAATCTAACATTAATTTTCTATATTCTCTCGAAACTCATTTCGAGAATTACATCATAAACACATCGAATGATCTAAATGAATATCGAAAATAGTTAAACGTACATCAAACATGTATGTTAAAAAATGTGTATAACTCGTCTTTTTTCTTAAAAAAATCAATTATTTTTAATGTTTATTATTTTTTCGTGACAATAAATTTCGATGTTATTTAAAAAATTTCCTAATAAACTTTTAAATTTTTTTAATGCCAAAAGAGACATCATTTAAAAAATTAAGAATTTCGATAACATGCTAACTTTATAAATTCATCGACAATTGTATGATAGTCGAATGCGTAACTCTTCTATATTCTCTCGAAACTCATTTTGAAAACTATGTCATAGATACATTGAATGATCTAAATGAGTATCAAAAATAGTTAAACATACATCAAACGTGTGTTTTGAAAAATACGTATAACTCGTCTTTCTTCTTTAAAAAATCAATTATTTATTAATGTTTATTACTTTTTAGCGACAATTTTTATAATAAAAATATTATGTGGTATAAAATACAAGATCAATTATCCAATAAAAAAATTGTTGTACTCGATTAGGAGTGAATGGCTCATCGGTATGCATGTAAAGGTCAAATGGGCAATAGTGAAATGCTTCCTGAACGAATAGTAACTGGCATGATAAAAAAATCTTACAATTCGCTGCCATAATTTTTATCTCACTCTCTCATGATGCATGAGAAGATTTTTTTTTGGAAGGGATAGTTACAGTAACTCACTTGTGTAAGTCAACAATGAAGGCAATAAAATGGTCTCATTAATTTCATTTCTGAAAGCTACATGCAGCATCTAACAAAGTGAAAGGATATTTTTTAAGTGAAGTTATAGTAACCGTCAGCAAATGGTTCTATAAAGTCAATAAAGACAGTAATAATGCTTCCATATTTCATTATTATTTCCCGAAAAACTTTTTTTTTGGTGATGAATAGTGCATAACGAGTTCAGCTACAGTACAAAACCAATTAAGTGTGAAACCACTGCCTCAGGTTGAACAGTAAATGTTGGATCCTATCTTTTAAAGTAAAGGGGAATAAAAATTTAAAAAAATACAAATGTTAGGCAACAAAACAATTTTCTGTTACGATTTACGAAGGACTATAAAAGTTAAATAAATGTTTTTACATTGTCAGAACACGTCTTGCACAAAATCATTAAATACTCTCATTAATGTGAATGTCATTTTTTGCCGCCACAAAATACCCTTTTTATAAGCTAAAGTAACCCACTCATATAAAACAAATAAATCCAATAAAATAGTATCATTAATTCAAAAGTAAACATGCCAGACAACAACAAGATTTTCAACAATGAAGGCTGAATAAATATTTTCCTCTGGCATTCTTTCACAAAATCATTTACCAAGGAGTATAAATGTCAACAATGAAGGCTGAATAAATGTTTTTGTTTGGCACTCTTGCACAAAAGCATTAAATACTTCATTAATTAATTTTTTAATGCTTTTTATCGGAACTGATTTATCTACAGTACAAAATCAGTTCTGTGTGAATCCTCTGCCTCAAGGTGAACTGTACATTTTGCATTCTCTCTTTTAAAGGAAAGGGGATTTGGAAGGTGCAAACCAAAGTCTTGATATTGAATGCCAAATACTGGACGTGGCATGTGCGCTGGGGTATCTACATCAGGTGCGTCCCTATCCGATTGTCCATCGTGATTTGAAGCCCAGCAATATTCTTTTAGATGAAGATATGGTAGCGGATGTTGCAGACTTTGGCATTGCCAAGCTTCTCAATAAAGGGTGAAGAATTTCTATGACAAAGACATTAGGCACTATGGACATATGACCATGACAACTGTTTATATGTACAGTTAAAATTTATACATGACATAATTATTCATAGATGTTATGCTAACAGTATATTCATTTGTCATTTAACATTGACTTGTTTGTTTGATCACAAGTGCCACTTTTGTTAAGTTGGGTGAGAGGTTTATGGTGGAGGTTTATAGCTATAGTAATAGGACTAATATCGACTATGGCGGAGGTTTATAAGTATAGGAGGAATACGTGCAAACATTTATCTTGAAGAAGACAACAGGTGATTTGTTTGTTGGAGAGTTCATATTCTAGATGCAATAATGTGGATAGTGGAAGTTGATTTAGTGAATGCCATTGAAGAATAATCATAGAACCGACACTAGAATGAACAATTGATTTGCCCAAGGGGAAGCTTAATATTGAAGATGTTCTAAACTCTAACAAGGCTCAGGAAGATCAAAACTGAAATTTGTTAAAGCGTTACCCAGGTGGAACAGGACAAAAAGGTTTGCTTCTTGATGAGAGTGCAAAAAATTATTCTTTAAATCAAAATTTAATTTCTAAATCACTACAAATCTCATCAAAAGCTTATTATATGTTTCTATTGTAGGAAATCTGGCTATCATTCTAAAGATTTTATGCTTTGTTTGGCTTCCATTATTCCTTCTTTTTTCTGATTTCTCTCCTTCACTTTTTTGTTTCGTCTGTATAAGGTTGGAGCATCTACATGTGTCGGAGCAGGGACGAATCCAGGATTTTTCATAGGAGGCACTAGAAGTACTTGATAAAGTGAATGTAATAAAATTTATACGTACTAAAAAAACTAGTTAAATAACATTATTTATTTAAGTCGTTCCCGACGAGGATTTGAAATATAATACTCATCTATAATAGAATCTAAATCTATTTTCTCAGCAAGTTCTCTTACTATAAAAAGTATCATACAATCAACAAGAAAATCATCCTCCATTTTGTTGTTAAGTGTCGTCTTCACATGTTTTATCGCTGAAGATGCTCGCTCAGTACTTGCGGTAAAAACATGTAACGTCAATATAAGACGAATCAATCTAATCATCATAATGTAAATCTCTGATCTTCTACTCTCAATCAACTGTTCGCATAACTCAGAAAGTGTAGATACTTGAAATCGAGACTCACCCTTCATATCTAACTCATAATATGGCAACTCAAATTCCAATGTAATAATATCTTGCTTCAAAAAATCTTGAGGGTAAAATTTCTCTGCAAGTGTGCAAATTTTTCGACTGTCAAACAATCTAAATGAATCCTGAAAAGCTGCATTGAGAGAAAGGAGTTCTACTGATATGTCATTAAATCTTGTATTTAACTCCATCATTACAAAATATATTGCTTCATTAAAAACATCATAGTGATAATAATGCTCAATTATAGTTTCATCACTAGAATGGCCAGTGTTATACAAACCTTCTAGATCGGGTATTGTAATATTATTCTTTGAGCAAAAGGATTTTACTTCTTGAAGAAATTCTTCCTAGTTGTCATCTCTCAATTTTTGAAGCAATTATTTAGTGGTAGACACAAACCTTAAAGCAGTCAAGATGCCTTAGGATCTTCTTTGAAGGGCTTGACAAAGAACATCACCGATTCTCATTATTCTATGCATCAAATGCAAGATAAATATGAACTTAAAACTCACCAACTTTTTGTAAGCACCACGAGCTTCAGCTTGAGATCTACCGTTTGGACAATGATCACAAATATATTGAAGCACTTTGCGGGTTGCACCATACATATCTATCAAAATCTTTATAGAGTTGTAATGTAAGCTCCAACGAGTAGCTCCCGATCATTGCAGATTAACCATTTGATTAGCCCCACTTCTAGATTCACGCTCCCCGGTATCCAATATACGGTGAATTTCCTCTCCATGAAAAAATTGCAACTCAGTAACTCGTTCAGGAGAAGAAGTAATAACATTGACAATCTTGTCCAAATGAGAAAAGAAGTTCCAAATGACATGGACTTCTTTAGCTGCCACGACCAACGTTACCTGTAATCAATGAGCAAAATAATGGACATAGTATGGACCTGGACAATCTCTAAGAAACAATGCTTGAAGTCCATTCCAAGAACCTCTCATGTTACTAGCGCCATCGTACCCTTGTCCTCTTATTTTGTTTACCCGAAGTTCATATTGAGCAAGAACATCACATATTTCATTTTTGAGATTCGATGAAGTAGTATTACTAACTCTTTTGATTGCAAAGAAATGTTCTATCAAACTACTGTGACTATTCACAAACCTCAAGATAATGGCCATCTGCTCTCGATTAGATGCATCTTGTGCTTCATCAACAAGAATGCAAAAGCATTCATCCCCAACTTCCTGTCGAATCATATGTCATACTCTATTGGCCATAATATGTATAATTTCTTTTTGAAAGGTCAGAGCAATGTATTGGGCATTTTGTGGTGCATTTTCCAAAACAACTTTACTAACATCTGGATTCAAACCTGCTACGCACTTTATTAGTTGTATAAAATTCCCACGATTACGTGAAGATGGAGATTCATCATTACCTCTGAACCCTAAACCTTGAAATGCTAGCCATCGAACACTTTTAATTGAAGTCATTATACGCAAACGACGTTTTCAAATTTCATCTTTCGATACAGTATTCATTACCTTGTCAATATGCTGAGATGGTTTGAATAAATCTTTAGCTCTAGTCTTACACAGTTTATGATATGCTGAGTTAGCATGAATAAGAAATGCACATTTATTTCCATCTTTCACCCTCTTCCATTTATTATATCCTTCAGTAACCAATCCAGAACAGGCAGAAAAATTACCCTCTTTCTGAAAAAGAAAATAGTAAAAGCAATATACCTTTTCAGTTGTAGAAGAATACTCCAACCATGGAAATTCTGTGAACCATTTTTTTCTAAAAGTGACGAGCTTGTCTTTTTCCTTCTATAATTGGATACTCCTCAAGCTTCAACTGATAAGGTCCAACTTTTATATATGCAATTCTAATCTCATCTCGTAGAGTGGTAGGATGTTCAAACATTTGCTTTTTTTTTCCCGGATCCCGTTCAATACTAGTACATGATTGCAATTCCAAAGTTGAGACTGACGAAGGTTCAATTTCTGGAGCTGGATTTGAAGGATGTTGCATGGGAGTTGAGGCTGAGTGGTGTTCAATTTTCGGAGATATACTTTCACTAGATTGACCGTCGGTCTTTTTAAAGAATGAAAATAGTGTCTTTACTTTCTTCAATGAATGTTGATCTTCCATTTGTAAGTGCTAAAAATAGGAGATAGAAAAAATGAGACAAGGCAACAATAATATAATGCAAAATCTTCACACAGGTCCACTTTTACTTGATCAAATTTTAGATTGTTCAACCAGAATAATTTATTTGTTAAGCTACTTAATTAAATTTCTTGGAGATCTTAATAGAATAATTAATTATAATTAACTAAGTTAGTTGAAAAACCAATGCAGTAAACATTCTTTTAATAGCAGTAAACATTCTTTTAATAGTAGTGCAAATTAGTTAATGGTCCTGTTTTCTTGATTCAATCCGACCATGATTCTTGAATTTCACCCATAAACCTTCCTTATTGCTAAGCACATATTTATTCTTGTTTGGCAACCCACCCACCAAAATAAGGGGGAAAAAACAGAATTTTCCATTCTACACATAAACAACCATCTATCAACATGCTCATATATTAGAAAATTCCCCATTGGGCATTGGCAAAGTAAACTGAGAAAAAAAAATTTAAAGAATAAATTATTTTTCTAAAGATTATACATAAAACATAAAAAGTTAACTCTCTGTAAATACAACCAATAAAATTAAAATATAGCAAAATGTTTCATTCAAAGAATTTAAAATAAATTCACAAATGAAAAAACCCTCCACTCTCCAATTTCAATTTCAATTTCTTAGCCCTAAACCCACTGGCAACTTAAACCTTAAGATATAATGATATATTGCAAAAATTGAAAATAAAATAAATGACAAGAAGAAAATTTATATAAAGACAAAGAGTGAAAGAGATTAAAAGACAAACCTAGTCCTTGAATAAAGTGTGTCGGCAACTCGGCGGGGCCCGTAGAAATGAGAAAGACGAGAAATTTTCAGCCAATATGAGGGTTTTAAAAAATTGGTGGAGTGGATTCAGTTATTGGGCTGGTGGGCTGCAAAGAAAATATAAAGAATGGACTTTGGACTTTGGCAGTTTGGCTGGATTGGAAGTAAATCGGGCTGACTCAATATTTAGCCCTTGTTTGAGCTCCATTCTTTTGGAAAAATGCATTTTTCAATAGCGTTTTGATATCATTTCAACCACACATTCTTCAATAAAATAATATTACACGTAAATTCAAAACTTTTCCTTATTTTTTAACCACACATTTCCCATCAATATACTATTCTAAAATTCATTCTTCCACAAAAAATGGGGCTCAAACAAAGGTTTAATTGGGCTACTTCAAGGAAAAAATTAAAAATTCCCACAAACAACTTAGACTTGGGCTGGGACTAGACCGGGCTTGTCCCCATCCCAGATCCGTCTCTGTGTCGGAGCGTGTCTGATACGCGTTGGTTCAACCTAGTTCTTAACCTTCACCTTCTCAGTCAAGGAGGATTTGGGATATTTATGTCTATGAAGCATTCCATTTTTTGTAACTTTTCCCATTTTTTATTTTTTGAAGTAAATGAAGAAGAGGAATTTTCTCATTGTGTAAATTGCCATTTAAACAAAAAATTAAAGATATCCTCATGAAAAAGAATGTTTTTGTTTTGGTTAACTGACACATCCTCTTGGTCAAAGTTGTAATTATTGATTACTTAGTATAATAACATGGTTCATGAAAAGATTAAAAATATGATATGCACAATCAGTTGATTTGCAGTGGATATAGCTAGAGAGAATGTTATGACCGAAAAGTGGTTTATGCCTTCTCTTTATAAATAATGCCATCTAACACCAGTGATGTTAAAGCACCAGTGTAGGTGGCCATATATGATACATTCAATTAAATGAGTTACGTGACATTGCATTTAAATTAGTCTAGCATTTAATGTTATGTAGTTGCCATGTAGACTAATGTTTGACACCGATAGATCTGAATAGCATTACTCTCTCTTTATTGAGCTTATCTCTCCGCTTTTGTACATTATTTAGGACAATATATGAAGGATAAAATTTAATTATCATTGTAATGAGATTGTCCTTTTTTTCTTTTTCATTTTTTGTTGACAGCAAGATGCAGTCTGAGGTCCTATGGAATCAGAGGTAATGAAAATATCGTGTGTTATGTTACAATCAGTGGTGACAAGGCAATGCAACTCCTTGAAAGTTGGTTGAAGGTTAAGGATACGAACATTAGTGAGGCTGGGTGTTTTGGCTTACGTACTCAGGAAAACATTAATCATGGAATCACATACATAATGAGATGCCCTTGGCTCATATATTTGTATATTTATTTGGATTAGAACATCTAGCTTCATATTTTCGTAGATTCTCCATAACCTTTTTGTTGCTAAGTCCACATTGTTTCTTTTACTAGTTTCACTATATGAATCCACAGCAAAGATTGAGTTTATATGACTGATTTATTTTAATTTATTCATCTTTCTGCTTGAGTTGATACTTGTTATTTCTAGGAATTTTCAACAATATCAACATGGTGTTTAATGTGGAACTGTCTGGCGATTTTTTAGATCAATAATAAAGATAGAATAAGACAAGCGAGAAGAACTAAACTACGTACTCACATTGAATATGTCCACATGTCTAGAGGATCATGCTGATAGAGTTGAAGAAGTTTTACTAGTAGGGTTGGGAGAATTAAGTAGTCAAACACAAAGAATGCCATAAAAAAAAGGTGATCTTAAAAAAGAGCACATATTGTGAAACGAAGAAGTCATTAAGAGATTGTAGTTCCACAAGCCTAGGGCTCCAAGTATAAAAATGAAGAAAGGAGTATCTTTGACGAAAGAAAGAGGCCTTTAAGAGGGTGCCAAAGTCTAGATCTCCAAGTATAAAAAATGTTTCTTGCTTCGGTTCAATCAAACATAAGTATAGTAGTTATTCTTATGCAGCTATTACATCAGGTCTCCAAGTCTCAAAAATGTGCCTAGGAGTGGATCTTTCCTAAGTTGATTGAGATATACATTGCAAGTCAATCTCTCATTTTTTGGAGCTTTTCCAATGAGGGATAACTGCCCCGTTATGCTTCGATCTCTTACCTTCACTTCTTGTCTTTAGGTTTTATCAACTTGGCTGCTTATGAGCTCGTCCCTTAGCTTATGTGACTCGAGTAACAAGAACTCTATGTTAGAGCAACAAAAAAAATTAAAAATTCATCTATCTATTGGATTGTCTTACTTCAATAGGATTTGTATCGGTACGTCGTTCTATTAGATGTGCTTGTGCATCTTCTGTTGGGTATGTCATACTTATACTCCAGCTTAATGGCAAGATCAGTTTCTTGTATTGGTTTTCGAGTCCCCGGTTGACTGCCCAATGGTGGTAAAAAATAACCGACATTTTAGACCTCGGGACAATCAAGCAAGGACATCAAGCCCGAGTACGTAGATATCAATAGTAATCACATGCTTGGTTGACGTGGAATTGTTCTAAAGTTTTTGTTATCAACAATGAGGACGGAGAATAAGTTTTAAGAGAGAAGGAACCATGTAAGTTGACCAAATTTGCATTAACATATCTAAAGGGAACCATGTAAGTTGACCAAATTTGCATTAACATATCTAAAGGGTCAGGTTGAGCGAGTTGAAAGGAGTTGGGCAAGTAGGTTGTGTTGGAGAATACGTGATGCCAACCACATCCTCAAACAATCATCTTGTCATCCATGTTTTTTTCTTCAACTTATTGGCACAAACCGTTCTATCCTTTGGATGTATTGCGAAATACTTCTATCTTTTCAGATTGACCAAAAAGCCCCATATATGACCTTTGAGGTGTGAACCACCTCTAGTCATCCAATTCCATTAGTTTAGAGGTTAAGAACAGTAAATGTGATCTAAATTAAAAAGAAATAATTGTAATAGTGATTACAAACTTTTCCTTTTTTGCAGATTGTACCCAAATCTTTTTATTTGTGCCAACCATAATCCTAAAACTTCAAAAGTTTCATCTTCTTCCCCAACTTTAAAAGGTTAAAATTGTAATTTTATATTATTTCATATAAAATTTTTAAAAAAACACCAAAAAGAGAAGAAAATTTTGCGCCCCATGATTTCCAATTGGATATTCTGGTTGCACCCTAGTCGAAACCTATGTGTAAGGGTAAATGACGTCTTCCAGTAAATGAATCTTACCTATTCCCATCCAATAATTGAACCACACTAGACAAAGAAAATGTCCGCAACTGTGTGCATTCCAGTCATCATCATCCTCCTCTCTTTTTCTCAGAAAGTGACATTCACTCTGTGAAGGAAATAAAAGCAATGTACAGAATATATAACTTATTTGAAACATAAATTTTCTCATTTTTCCTTTTCCTTTTGTTTTTACTTTCCATTACACTCATCTTTTCTACCCTTGCGTGCATCCATGTGAGTGAATGTGAAAATTTCCTCGTTTCTTTCTTTTCT